CTCAGGCCACCTTGAATTTAGCTTGAAAACCACAGCTACATAGCTACTTTGGGTGTCTATACCTGGCAAGGTGCCAACTACACCTTTATTTTCAAGGTGGCCTGAACAGAGTGTTTTAGGGCAGCAAACCCTGGTCTCAGGCCACCTTGAATTTAGCTTGAAAACCACAGCTTTGAAGCCTCATGCGCGCCATACCCGGGAACAGAACTGTAGCTACTTGTAGCTACCCTGGGTCCGTATAAATACTATGTTGCTATACCTCTTACACACCTATACAAGTTCAAAGCACGAATGAGACTTCAAAGCTGTGGATTGCTGTGCGTGTGTAGAGGTTCTCAAGCGGTTGACGGAAAGGCAACTTGAAGTACTATACCTGGTAGCTGCACTATGGCTACCCTAGGTCTCTATACCTTGCAAGGTGCCAACTACACCTTTCCATTCAGATGATGCAAATGATGCATTTGGCATTTCTTGCATCACCACCCCTCAAAAATCACCTCCAACACAACCTCAAAAAACCTTCCCTCGAAGCACCCTCCTCCCCCAGCATGTGCCGAGTTGACGTATACCTTTCTCGGGCCACCCCCCCCAGACCCCCTAACTACTCACTTCGTTCGCCAGACACAACTCCGCTAGCGCCTTCTACGAAGGCTGGCTTTCGTAACCAGGAAAATTGGTGTTACAACAAGCAGCTTAACAAGCGGTGCGGTTTGCACATTCAATTTTGGTGCATCCAACAATCGTGTTTGGTCAAAAGCGGTGCGGTGTGGCTCTCCTTGGCTTGTTGAAACTCCCCAGCTGCACCACAAGCTTTAACGCAGTTGCTGTAGCCTGCATGGCGGGCAGTGCAGTTCCCTGTTGGCGGTAACCGTCACCATAGTTCCAGCTCAATCGTTTTCTACACCGTCTGCGGCTTCCGCATGTTAGTTGTGCGGACATAGACTCAAGTAGCCTACGAATCATCTGCAACCTGCTGCAAACTTGGGCATCTTGGGAGATAAACACATGCACACTTGAGTTCCTAGTCTTTGTGCTTCTCGCTATGAATTTCTGCGGCTTTGCCAAGCTTTTCTGTTCCAAGTAGCACCCAACACTTGGAGCGAAGCGAGCTGACTGCATCAGCCGTAGCCAACGAGTGGACTCCTTGCCAGATGAAGACCTCAGGCAAAGCAAACCACCGGACAAACAGTTCAGTATGCGAAGGAACCCCCGTGTCCTTGTAAGATGCAATCAGGTTGTGACTCTCCCACACATGAACCATGAGTCAATTTGGACTCCCTCCTCTAGGTGGCCGCTATGTTGGTACTGGCCTGCAATCTCTCCTTTGCTCCCTCCAAACCATGAGCCAAAGTTGTTCTACACTGAGATAAGGTGGTACCCAAAGGACATCGGTCCAAAACCCAAACCGTCTTGGCCAACTCGTCAAGCACTGTGTCAAAGTCTGCAAGCTCGTGAATCCTTTGGTGCCACCGAGAGGCTCCACCATCCACGCATAGGGCCCAAAGCCCGGTCCCGGCACGGCGGCATCGATCCAGCGTCGAAGCCACACAGCGGCTCTCTTCACGTCTCGGGCTTGGTCGTGAGCATGCCATGCCTCACCGGCAACTACAATACATGGACCCCATCCTAGACCTTTAGTAGTTGGGGGTATATACCTCACATGTAACCATGTATATACAGGAAACAAATTGGACACGAAAACAAAACAGCAGCAAAAAGGCAAGAGTCGACCTTGTAGCTCTCTCTGTTCGGTACGATGCCTCGCTTCTGCATCGCTTCAAACCATTTCAAGGCCCCATCAATATCCGCCATACGTGCATGTCCGCCGAGTAAGCAGTTGAAAGTTGTGACATTGGGTTTGAGGTTGTTCTTCTCCAAACGCTTCATCCAATCCTGATGGCTCCAGCAAAACAAACGGCTCACAACGGCTGTGTCGCCAGGTGTGCAGGCTTTCAAAAAGCTCCCAGCTGGACTTCCAGCCGCTCTGAAACCTATGACCTATCTTTTGCATGTTGAATGGCAGCCAAACCTGGCATGACCATACAGAGGTCAGGAGTTAGGTCTCTCTCTCTCTCCTGTCTAGGGCATTCAAGAATGCAGAAACGTGCCTGAGATAGCATCCCGATGTTTGACATCTCTTGACCAACTTCCTTCCCTCTCCCAGGCATTGCCTGTGGCACGACGACCTCGTGTACGCCCAGAAACCAAGGCCGGCTCCATGGTCTTCGTGGAGCTGGCTGAGATCGCTATGGCAGACAAGATGGTGTTGTAGCCTCAGTCAGGGCTCCACGGGTGGTTGGTGGAGGCAACTTCAACAGGTAGTGGTTGGCACCTGCCAACATCAGCTGGTGGTTGACACCTCGAGTTTTGATGAGTTTTGTGGTTGAGAGCTGCGGCGACTCATGCACCAACAATCTAGACAGTTGTGTTTTTTCCCTTATGGTCAAGGAGCTGGGCAGGTCTGGCTTCCCTTCATCCTCGATTCCTGGGAAAGCAAGGAAAGCTATTCCAACTTGACAACACGCCCAACATACAAACCTTACATTACATTGAACTTACATGAAATTACATTGCAATACTACAGTAACCGTACATTTATATACATTATACATTACATAACACCGCATTACACTAAATGACACTGCATTACATTATATATATACATTACATCACGCTGCATTATATTACATTACATTAATACATACCTACATACATTGCATTACATTGCGTTACATTACCTTGCATACATACATGTGTATAAAATTGTATAAATCAATATCATTTAGCACTCAATCAGCCATGCCTTAGGAATATATAGTGTGCTGGATTGTTCGCAACGGTATTCAAGGGAAACATGAGAATTTGCATATCCTCAAATCTGAATATGTCTGTCTTAATGGTCTACCGCAACTAAGCTTCTTTGAAACCAACTTAGAGCAGTCGGTACATCCCCAGACATGGCGGCACACCTCAGATGCATCAAAAAGAGCTGACAAAGAGGCAGTACTTGAAGTGATGTACTGAGTACTGCCACGGAACACCACAAAACTGAAGGCTCAAACTTCCCTCTGCTGACAAATGCTGCAGAGTTGTTGGAGTTCATGTTCTTGGATTTGCTAGCCGAACAAGGCAGTATTCGGTCAGCTGAGCCAGCTGCTTCCAACGAAACCAAGGCACTTCATCATGATGCTGTAGGTTTTCTCAGTGGGCTGCAGATTTTGGCGACACATTTCTTGCAACAGCCTCATGCAGTTAACCTCATTCCCATGGCTGGCGTAAGCGTTCATGATACCTTAGGCAGCCAGATGCGCTATATCCTATTAGCACCAGGACGCAGGTGCTTTCTAACATTGGACTCCGAATCTTCAGGAGCTCAGATTGAGTTCATGGTCGGTACCAGGGTCACACTTGCGCCCAGCGGCAAGAGTAGCTCACCTCCGTCGGGGCGATGCCTTCTTGGATCATGCGCCGCAGCAATTTCTCGCCACTTCGTGCATCGCCTGCTTGAGCGTAGGCATCGATGAGGGCCGTGTAGCTCACCACATTGGGGACCTGGAATGCTGGCGACAAAACAATATACTTGCGATGGCCTCCACCCTAATAGCAATGGCCTCCAACCGAGTAGCGATGGCCTCCAACCTACTAGCTTGGTCTAAAGGCATGGAATTCAAAGGACTGTACTATAGGATACTATTGGACTATACTTGTTCTGCAAACCTTGCTTCATCTGTCCAGCCGAGCCTCCAAAAAAAAAGGAGGAAACTAGAATTCTCCGAAAGAAACTGGCTCTCTTAGATTGGATTGAATGAGGTGGGTGGGACCATGCCATAGACAGCATCTTGATCTTGGTTCATCCCTTGTTTCAAAGTGAGTGTCGCTAATTATTGAGAAATATTGAGAATACCTCGAACATGCAATCGAATCATATCGAATCAATCTTCCTCATCCTAAGAGCACATGCTTCTGTGATGATCTTGCACCACTCTACCACAATCCAATTTCAAAAGGAGGCACCAAACGCTTGCATTCACAAATCACACACGCTCCACTTGCAAATTCGTCTGTACGATCACCTTATTAGGTGTTCCTTTCGTAGGAAGCCGGGGGTGAACTTCAGATTTATACTTGGATCAGCAAGTCGAGCAAAGGCTTGCGACTACATATTTTAAATCGACAATTCAACGTACGGAAGGAAATTCATTCCTGGCCAAAAGGCTAGACTTACTCTCTGAAGCTCCTGAAACCAGTGCTCCGCTCTTTCCGTTTCACCGCTCTTTGCACAGCTATCTATTACCTCGGTCTCAAGCGTGACGGGATCAAATGGAACGAACCATGCTGTTGCAACTTTGGGACACCCTTCCAACAAGGGAATGAAACAAATGCCCTGGCTGTGTGTGTGTAACAGCAGTCTCTTTGATGTTTGTCAAGCCTGACTGTGACTTATCTAAAATGAAACTGTCTTGGCCCTGGTGACATACAGTAACACTTGAACAATCAGCCATGACCATGAGCGACGTGGTAAATGTGGGGGCCTCTGACATGAGGTTGAGCTCCCAAACCCAAGAGGGCAAGTAGTCTGGCTCATGCCAAATTGCTATCCAATCTTAAAGAAACGCCTCCTTGATGGCCAGCTTGATGAAATCCTATTTATCCTATTTTGCGTCTCCTTGCTACTGCTACTCACCCTCTTTGTGGGAGGCTAATCAGCTAATCTTCATCCAAGTCTGCAGAGGTAAAGCTGAACAAGGTTGGCTTCAATCCTTGCTCTTGCCTCACAACGTGCAAGGCCGAGTCACTGCAACTTGGGGCATGACTGCGAAACAAATTTAAGCCGGGGCTGCCGGAAGAACATCTTACTAATAACCTTGTCTGTTTCATCTCTTGAGCAGCTGGCTATTCAAACAAAAGTTTTGACTCTCATGATACCTGCACCAAAACCTGCAAACCTCTGATCAAACAGCCCAACAAACATGACTCCCAAATGCGATCCGCTTGAGAGCATCCTTGTTGCTAGTAGCTTCTTGCTACTAGTAGTAAATGCCCTTGTTACCAGTAGTGATGCACTTGTTGTAGCAAAGGCACATTTTGCGCAAGTAGACTTCGGCTCCCTGAGAGTCACCCACTCGCGCGCAGGCATTGATGACACTGTTGTAGCTCTCCTCTGTCGGGTCAATGCTACGGCGGCCCATGTCCTTGAGATGCTTCACCGCTGCAGCCTTGTCACCACCTCCGTGGCTGGCGAGAACAATAGGTGAATCACGTCTAAGAATCACGGATCCTATTATTAACGGCCATCCATGACCTGCTCCCCCATGCGAGAGGCTTTTCCCGCTTGGACTTGTTGAATGGTAGGGGCTAGTTGTAGGAGCAAGCATAGTAAAGCACAGCTCGGGTTGGCGGATGATGATGGACCGTGAGCAGCTCAAAGCAATGTGCACGAGTTCTGAGAGTAGTGCGTCGTGGCTAGTTGGTAAAGTTGGGGCTCTATCATCCACAACCTATTATATATTATGTATATAGTCCAAATACTAATCCACATCCAGTATATTCATGGCCCATTATATATATAGTTATATAGCATCTGCACATCTGCTCAAGAGGCAACAAAGATGCCAAGACACTTTTGGCAGAAGCATCAATCAGAATATTCATGGGAATCGGACCCAGCTGCAGCTGTTGCTTTTCACCTCGAACATGTGAATTGCCAGGCAAATGTCCAAGGTGAAAGGCAAATGTCAATGTGACAGTGCACCGAACACAGCAGGGCCATTGCTCACACCCAATAAGCGCCAACAAACAAGGCACAAATATCATCTCCGGATCCAACACTCCGGCTCTCCTCAAGCAAAGCTGGGGCCCATATTAGGGCTCCTCCAGTATCAATGATTCAACATGAAAGAATAATCTACATCAATAGTCGTTGCAAAGGTCTGCTCTCTTGACATCCGAGCTGGCCCAAAGCTCCGTAACGCTGAGGTCACAGCTGTAAAACCGGCAAATCATCAACAGTTAGATTGGTTTTTCAGAGTTCGAGGGGAGGAGAGTCACCCAACTGGCCCGGAAACACTCCAGCAAGGTGCGCTCCCAGAACCACTTCTGGGCTTTCTCCACGCATCCAGCCTTTGCTGCCTCGAGGCCACATGAAATGTGGGCGATGTCTTGCCCAGTGTGAGGGCGCTGCGGCGGTGAGAATCGCATGAAAGTGAAACGTGATGGAACTTGCTACACCACCAAATAATATATCATTCAATGCCAAGCAAAAACCATTGCAGCCAACACAAGCTTTAGAAGTAGCTAGACCAAGAACGTCATATCACCTCGAGCCGCTGTCCATCCCCTGTTCTTCCACCAAGACTCTGCTTCCGACAGTTTTCCTCAGCCAATCATCTTGGCACAAACAATACGACAAAACATGAACTGGCTGGTGACCGGGATCAAAGTCGAGTTGCCAAATGTTTCTTTATTTGGCAGCACGCCATTCTCGAGCATACGCTCATACCACTCTTCTGCGGCATCAATATCAGCCGCGTTGGCACAAGCCTTTCGGGAGCCCACATATGCCCAAATGTGCAAAGTGTAAGGACGACCCAAACAGCATGTGTATTGAAATCAAGGCCATGAACGCCGCATGAAATGTCTTGCAAATGCTTTGCAAGTGCCAGCTTGCCTGCGTAAGCTCAAGAAATGTGTCACAAATATACACACAAACTACTAACTGTGATATATAAATGATGCAATAAGCTCTGCATCAAGAGTGCCTTGATGACAGTGTTGATGGCCATACGAGTGTCGCCCAGTGGGAGCCACGATTGCCTGGGCCACCGTGCGAATCCATCGCCGGGAACTATGACGCCTCACTGACGACGCCATCTTGACGCACAGGCGCATGTGCTCAAAGAGCTTGATGGCACGGACAACGTCACCACCTTCTGCTGCATCATTCAGCTCATCCCTGGAAGCGCGAAAAACGATGATATGTCTTCCCAAAAGCTAATGGATGATGGATGTATACTGTTGCAGTAAGACCGAAAGCACCCAGGGGGTTCTAGTGCCTGGTGCCAAGGTAGTTCTTTCTTATTTGCACGTTTTGGAGGAGAAGGGCCTAAACATGTGCCAAAAAGGAGCGAGGCTATGTCACAAAGCATTGATGCCATGTGTCCACAGCTTCCGACGACCTTTCTTCACCGCTGAGCTGGAAGCCACAAGCCCCACGGCCACTGCGGAGCGCACAGCGCGGGCGCCGCGCGGACGTCTCGCGTCGCGCGCGCGGGATGGAGGGATGAACCGTGTGACATGGGCTCGCTGACCATGGCACGAAGGCACCAGCATCGGAAGTTCACCAAACGTTTGGGATTAGCATGGATTAGCTGAGTGTCTGCTCCTGAAATCAAAGTTGCAACATCTTTAGATATTTATGCTTGATTATATTAATATTTGCATCAGTATGTCCAATGTCCAAATCCCTGAGTCATCCTGAGCCACTGTTGAAATGTGCTTCAAACAATTCAGGTCTTGGGGCTGGATTTTTCAGTCAGGTATTGGCTCTTGCCATCTCTTGCCTATGTTATGCACTTCGCGGCTGCAGATTGTAACCTCACACAATGCCAAGAACCAGCAAAGCACCTCACCGTACCTCACCGTTGTCTTTTCATCTTGATCAAATCAGCTGAGCACAAGAGATTCTGCATCGTTTTCCCAGCTTTTGCAAGACCAAAGGCCTGCCCCGTGGCAGGAATAGGAGAAGGCGTGAAAAAAATCTGGGAGTTGCGAGGCAAATCCCAACCTGCAACAGGTCATAAGACCATACTATTATTATTCCTCATTGGGGTCATGAGACCCAAGATGACCCAAGCATCCATGGATATCGAGACTATTGGTTCACCTTCGAGGCCCATTTCTTTGGCTCTAGAGATGCTCTTTCATCTCTTTTCCATAGCTCAGCGGCTCAGCGCTGTGCTTCCTCGAGGGCCTTTCGGATGCGATCCACAGAATCCTGCTCCTGCAATGCGCAAGTTCTGCTCGTCGCTTTGGTCACTTCATCCTCCGATAATTTAAAGAAGCTACTAGCAACAAGTGCATCGCTACTAGTAACAAGGGCATTGCTATTACTACTACAGTAGTAGAATCATACCATGCAAAGTTGCGCGCACATCCAAAATAACTTTTTAAGTTAACAGTTAAGCTGAAAGCTAAAGGGTCTTTGTCACAACTTCAGCTGCTCGCGCTCGATATTCTTTCCAACCAAAAATCCTGCCACCATCCCTGCCTCTGCCAGCTCAGCCTCTTGGCCCTTGGCCCAGCTCTTCAGGTTCTCTTTCACATCTTTGCCTGCCTGGGGTATATGAGAATTCCTCACATGTTATGGGGGGGACGGAGGGGCCAGATGGAGGGCCAATTGGAGCTTTGGAAGCGGAATCCGGTGCAGCAAGTTCGGAAAGACCCAACGGTCTGAGCGATTGTGGCCTCTTTGGAACACACGACCTGCGGCCTCCAATTGGCTTCATCAAGATTGATCCACCTGTTCTCAAAGACCTTTGGATTCCAGGAAATTTAGCCTGCATGACAAAATAAACAAGGTGTATATGTGCGAATAAGACACGAACAGGCTTGAATCAGGAACTGGAATTGCAGCCAACCTGGCCTGCTCGTACTCCTTGTTCCACACATCGAAGGCTTTCTTAGCATCTTCCTCCTTCTCAAAAATGCCCAACAAGTACTTGCTGCCAAAGGAATCAATGGCCTGCCAAGCTGCTAAGTCAGCTCCACACATACTGACAAATGCATGAGTGCAAATCCAACTTACTCAGCTGATTGTCCAATCAAAGTCACAATAGAAACCGTCCACTATAATTATAGTAGTCTGTCGTAGTCCGAAAACAAAGAGGACAAAAAAGAAAGGATTTCTGTTACGCCAGGTTTGTTTTACAGCCCTGTCTGCTTTCTGGATCGAAGGCTGTCACTGGGCATGGCCTCTGACTTGTAGAGCGTCTCCGCAGTGCCCCAGTTGTGTTTGAACTCGCCTGAAGATCAAAATAAGTCGCGACAAAAATGTCGCCACCCGAGCCATCAACCGTCTGCCATTATTAAAACCGTTCTTCCATTTTGGGGCCTTTATTGAATCCACCCCTCCCTATATTGTCAACTTGTGCCGTGCACAAGCTGTGCGTATTGTCACAAATCCACAAATCTGGTGTAAGTTGTGTTCCGCTGGCCTTCGATGACCGCTGGCACCTTGGCCAACTCGCTCAGCATCTCCTCATCCAAAGGCTCCACTGGTGCGTCGGAATACTTGGG